AAAACATTAAGGAGAAATAAATCCTCTCCACAGCACTGAGCAGCATCTCGAATAAAAATGATGCAAACAGATAAAACATGAGCAAGTTTGCCAATTTCATGAGAAGCAATCAAAATTATGTTCAATGTTTGCACAGTTTTTTTTGTTTCCTTTGGAGATTCCTATTGTGTTCAACTTGCAGAATTGCATTTCTTCATGGCAGTTATGGGTTGTCAAATTGAACATACAAACCTTTTTTGACTCCACTTACTGACTGCCAAGTAAAAACCAAATTAATCTTGGTTGAAATAACAATCTCCAGGCATTTTTTGTTGTCAGGAAACAGGCAAAGCAAATGACTAGACAGACACAAGATAATATATTTTTCCCACCTGTCTACAACCATATAGTTCATTTTACAAGTTTAAAAAAAAAAAGTTCATAGTTATGATTACATTACCTGCAATGAATGACCTGTTGGTATTTTTAGACCCTGTACTAGTGCTTTTAGTGTTAATCTAGGTTCTACAGCTCATAAGATTTGCCATAATTTGGGTCATTTATTAATAGAACTCTCTTTTGGGGTTATGGTTCTTTTCTTTTATCGGTCAAATGATTAATCTGACCGGCTGTATTTCTACCTGAGATAAATATTTCCATGTGCTGTGATTGCATGCTCAGGTTGCCTGTGCACTGGTGGGGGCAGACTATTCTGCATATCCAACACATTTAATGGAATTCCATCAATAGGTAATTAGCCTATTACAACCTTTCAGTTGTACCATGTCCTTTGGACAAATCACCCCACACTACAATAGCCAACTCAAAGATCCCAATTTCAAATGGCTTATTTTCTGATGTACTGGGAGACAGTCTGTGATTACATTTAGTCCCGGGCCCTTTCATTTGACCAGCATATAATTTCTTCCCTGGCACACTTCAAAGTGTGGACACTTCAAAGAAGAATGAGTGACTGCCATTTGGACTCTGTGGATGGCCCTTTTGATCATCTTCTGAAAACTCCCCCAATGCAATCAGGGCAAGCTCACCAGAGAGGAGGATTTGACAGCCATAAGATAAATGCAGTCACCCTCACAGCTATCAGATAAGCACAGCATGCTCTAATCCATTAATATGAAAATGAGGGAGGACTAGAAAGGGCTGGGTGGGAGTTGTGCAGCAACAGTTAAATGCTTTGGAATGAGTTTCCAAAGGAAGGAATCAGGAATTAAAGCACTTAATGTGTGCCCAAACTAGCAAACACCAAAATAAATTATAATGATAACAGTCAAGGTATTCTTCAATAATCCACCTTAAATTACTACAAACTGCCAAAGCAAATTGAAGAACTCCCTGCAGTGATAATAGCCACAAATTGTGTTCTAGAACTGATCAATTCTGGTCAACAAATCTAATTTAATGGCGGACAAATGACAGGTCTTTTAATGTGAGATTGAGCAGTGTATGTATAAACCTGAACTACGGGTTATGTATATTAATGTGGTCAATAGATTCGGACACATCAGTAGCTGTTTATTACAAACTAACAATAAAATACTGGCACATTTCATGAAATTATTTAATTGTCAACCTTGCTCCAGGTACACCCAAAGTCTGGCTAAGGTTGACTGGGAGCCCTGGTGATATATAAGCAGGTAAACAAGCATTTCCCTTATCTCCCCACTGTATCTCTGCAGCTATTTACAGCAGAGGAGAGACTGGTGGTCATATTCATAACTGATAACACAGAGAAACAATAGCTTCTGCGACAGCTTTTAAATACATGGATCTAAACGGCCATGCCACTGCAAGACCTCACTGACAATTTACTCAGGTCTTACCCCTTCCATATTCCTCTTTGTTCACTTAAATACATTATTACGCCAACCCCCCACAACCCCTGGATCTATCCAACCATATCCATCTCTCGCTGCATCCCTTCCCCCCTTCCATCTTTTCATCTCCAACATAACTAACAGTACTCTCTCCTTCTACTACCTATTGATCCCCTCCATGGCTCCTCTTTTCCTCTCTCAATTCATCCATTCATCTGTCAGCCAGTCTATTTATTCATCCACCCATTAATTAGCATAAGTATTAGAGAGGTGAAGTGAACTCACCTGATGGGGTTATATGTCTCCAGGAAATGGATGGTTCAGGTTTCCCACTGGCTGCACAGATGAGCGACACATTGCTGCCCTCGTTTACCGTGATGTCGGACGAAATGTCATATATCTTGGGAGGAACTAGAAGGGAAGAAAAAATATTACAGAAACAATGTTAACATTTCATATCTGCAACCTCCAGTTCTATCATCTACTGTATATGTAATATTACATAGGAGGGAAGGAAGGTTAGATGGATGTTTTTACAATGAGAGAACAGCCTGTTTTCCAATTTCTAGTGCCATGACAGTGTGAACCAAAAATATTCATACTCAGGCTGCAGTATGTAAAGCTAAAACAGGGTTTCTGCAGGTTTCAACTAGTTACATGTAAGACTTTTGAACCCTTTGTTTAGATAATAAAGAATGAAATGAAAATGAATGGAAAATTGTGTTTTAAGGCACGCCAGAAGGATCAGTTATCAGCTCCATGTTTGTAGTTTATTACAGCTTGTGAGAATATGGATCATTTAGAAAGAACTACAACACAAGGACACTTCACAAACTATGCATACGCCAAAAGAAGTAAGTAGCTTTGAATACTTGTTAACACATCTAAGACATACCTAAAAGTATAAATTACCCTTTCCAATTATTTTAGTATTTTGGACTCTTTAAGCCCCCTGTATATTCATCATAAGGATCATAAGGTGTCTTGACAGAAAGAAAATTTAAGGACTGAGGGAATACTATTGTCACATTGACTAAACCATAGCAAATACTAGGTTATTTTTTAACAGTCTGACAGAATACTGGTTAGGCTAACAAGCTAACTAGCAAGTAAAGTTACCACCACTCCCTGCTTCATTTTATATATTTAACAACAGATATGTCACGATAATATGAGGAAAAATGTAATAAGTTCGACAAAACCAGAGCCGTATTCATTGCTGACACTATGGCTAATGCAGCGTAATGGAAAATTCACATATGAACTTTGCTTGAACTCTTTCCTATATCTGATCAATGCTCGTGTGCTGTGTTCAACAATAACTCCTCATATAGAAATACAGTTGTGCACGTCTCATAAGAGGAACGGTCTGGCGTACGTGCAGACAGACGATTCAAACAAGAGAGACATGTTTTTCTTTTTTTACCTTTAACTAACAAATGTCCTGAGTGTTGCTATGCACTTGCCTAATGCAACCTCAAAGTTCATGATCCTCTTGTTGACCCTTATCTGTGCTTTTAGCAAACATCCTGTTTCTTGCAGAGGCAAGAGCAGACTTTTTCCTGTGTCGACCAGACTAAAGGTGGCTTCAGTGTTCATGCTGTCTCTTATGTTTCCTGTTTACCTGACTGTTTAAAAACCTTCTTTCACTATTCGAGTTTCCACTCTGAGCGTTCATGCTGAGTGTATTTCAAATCTCGATATTAATTTCCACCACAGTAGCTAACAGGTAAATATGACTAAGCCTGTATTTCCAGGCTGAGTTTAGTCAGTCAGTCAGTCAGTCAGTTAGTCATCGACATACAAGTGAAAAATGTATCAGGCATCAACACAACTTCATACACACTGTCAACACAAATAACTTCATCTTGTCCAAGGCTCTACAAATAAAATCACTCACCCAGAAAACTTCATCAGAATTGAAGGACATTTCACTCAAAAGAGTCACACTTAAATCACCATTAAATGAGCAGTAAAACAGGAAATGAACTTCATCTTCAATATCACCTATATTGAATTGCAAACAAAGTCAGCTCTCCTCAGGGAGACCAGTAAACTTGCCTGTCGCTACAACTAATCCTCATATACACAAACATTATTGTGCACAAACAGATCTTTGACATTTTGTGCAATTGAGCTTTACAGTGCAGAACAATTTGCACTGAGCTTAATGAATACTACACTACACTACATCTGTTTTTGCCCAAGTAAAGATTTCACTTAATGAACAGAGGGGTGTCTCGGCAAAATGCTCCAATTAAAGATTGTTCAAGTGAGCTATACTCTACAATGACGCGTGCAACAATTCACCTGATACTGAAAGCCCTGAATGCCAAAATCATAAAATAAAACAGGATACACACCAGTCCATACAGTTCAAAATAAAACCTTAAGATTTATTCTGTCAGTTTGCAGTCCCTGAAAATGATAATTCTCTGTTTGTATTTTATAATTTGAAACAGTTAAATATATCATGAGCAGTGATTATTCTGTAGACCACAACTATGTTTAATACTTTACGACAGACCTTGGTACCGTGAGTCACTCTCGCCCACAACGCTTCAATTTACCCAGTTATTTAACAAACAGCAATTTACAAGAACAAAACCTAGACCTTTACGAATCACTCAACAAGAACTGAGATGTGGGCTGTGATTCATAGGTCTGGTGCCCGGCAACACTTTGCATTGGAAGCTGCGTATCGCAAATCCAAAGTAATTCCTTTAAAACGCATATTTTTGCAAAAGAAAAGTAAAGTTCTTTTTTCGATGAGGGCAGCTCATCAACAGTCCCTGCTGGACATCACTTACAATCATAATTGGCAAGTTTCTGGCCACTTAAATCCTCTTGGAGCTTTGATGTTAAAAGCTTCGGTACTTAGGCTGCTGAAAACACACAGACACACAAGCAGCCACCCACAAAGGCAGTTAAACACATTTAAATAAGTGCATGTGCAGTCACATGAGCGTGCACACACACACACACACACACACACTTAAACATAGGCATACACACAGGCTTATAAGACACTATATTAATCGGTAAGATTTGAATCTCTGAGGGAGCTTTTCTGCAGTGGACTGTGTTATACAGTAATGGCTTCTCAGTCGTCTGGCTTCCAACTCTTCCCCCTTTGATCCCTCCTGATGCCGGGAAAAAACTAACAAAAGAAAAGTTGATTCAACAATTTACAGAGTTCCACTTTGGATCCACCGCAACACTTTCTGGAGTCACGTGGTCTCTTTCGTCATGGAGCTCTGTCCAGTTCAGCTGCTCTCACTTGCTCTGACAAACAACACAGATGATGTATTATGAAAGGTACAGCATGAATAACTGTTGATCAAAATAAAAATCTCCATCTAATGGATTGATAAGTGGTTTTATAGGAGGCTTTTTTCAATTGTTGCACAGCTGCACGTATGGTTAGAAACCTGTTAATACCACCAATGTGTAGCTGAGAAACGTAATGTGGCCTTAGCATTAAGGCTTGTTTTAATTTAAGGGGAAAGTTGGGCCTTTGCGGAGGTAAGCTCTCTCATATAATTTGATACATTATCACTGTTATTACGTGAATCCTCTTGTATAGTAAGAGCAAATAGCCTATTGGCAAATACAAGGTGAAAGCTTCCATACTCACATAACTGGAACCCTCAAACAATTCAGGTAAAAACTTCTATGATTCACTTATAGTACTACCCCAGTATATATTCACCCAGCATCACACTGACCCAGTATGATGTGAGGGAGTGGCCCTGTAAAGCTTCATAGCACTGGAACTTTCTGTTTTCTGGGGGCATAGCCATTCTTTTCGATAAACAGATCTGGATCTAAATGAGATGAAAGTGGTGAACCTTCAGTGGGAAAAGACCGGAGGTGATGTTGAATCTAGGTTATTGCTTGTCAGGCTCCTATGTTTACTTGCTGTAGGACCCCACTGTTGACACATCTCCTCTGTGTCTGATAGCACAAAATTGAAAATCTTGGGGTTGTCTGCTGATCCTATCTCTCCTTGTCAGGGACTGAGAGGTTTTCAAAGGTTCACATGAAGAGTCTTTAGTTTTTTTTCATCATATAGCTACTGTGACTCAGTTACTTTACTGCATAACACTGCTCCTTCTGAGAATAACATGCAAGTCCTGGAAACAGAATCAAAGATCAACACGTCCAATACAGTCAAAGTTTTATCATCAGTGGAACTGGGATGTGAAGAACAGCACTGTCATCACAGGACAATGACCCGTCCTTTTGTTCTACAACTTTAAAAACTATGGTAGTACTTTAAGGCTATTCAACATGTGCATGACAACATTTCGCACTCATTACAATTCTATTGTCAGCTTAGTGTTTTGTTGATGGTCCGCCACAGTCTAGTTTATAATTCTACCAAAATCTAGACATAGTATCTGGCACCTTTACTGCACTGTTATCTGTCTCGCTTTACTTTAGCTTGACTTTAAATGAATGCAGATTGTCTTATATTCCAAGACCAGACCATGAGCTGTTATTTCATGAAAACATATTTTCTTATGGAATGGAGTTTTATTTGTGGTTATTTGTAGCCTTGTAGCCTGTTTTGCCAGGCTGGTGAGTGTTTTAGAGATCATCAGCAGTGGTTTCTCAAGGCTGGTGTAAAATCTTCTGCTGCAACAGAGGACAAAATGTCATGACAAGTAAAAATGAGATCTTAGTGTCTTGCATGGCAGCTTGCTCTCATGCGTACCCAAACTACAGGTGCACAGAAAGGGCCGGTAAAGAGACTGACAGGGCTTGCAAAAAAAAATGCAATGGTCCACTGATCCACGAACGCAAGGGAACCACCATGATTTGTCCAACCAACAACCAAGCGTTAAAGCAGAGTTTGAAAACCTTTCAGAGAAAATAAATACGAGTCAGAAATGAGAGTGTAAAAAGATTCACTTCACTCCAGTAACTGTTGAGTTTTCTAAATACTGTCATGACAATGGTCCAAAAATATGTGAAAATGCATATTTTTAACAATAGCCAAAGATCAGAAATGGCTTGAAAAAAAATACGTGTCTGCCATCTGTTGCTCCCAATTAAAAAATGAAATAAATAAAGCAGCCTAAACAAGTGTAAGTGTTAGTCTTGTTGCCAGGTTACAGTGCAGATTCATTGCAAGCTGCTGAGGGGCCATAGGATGACACTTGATATAGAGGCCAGAGGAGGATTCAGATTTAGCAAACTCACACCTATTTAAAATTCTATTCTTTTCATTACGAAGTGGCTACAAAAGTTAAAGTGTTAAGTTTATATCTACTTTCTCTTGGCTCTTGATGTTGAAATCTTTTACCATTCATTTCTGACTGAATTATAACAGTTCATGGTATATATGTCTATGTGTAAGTGGTGGTGTGAGTAGGACTGGGATATTAAGTGAACAAGGACACAAT